TGTACTACCATGACGCTCTATAAATTGTTTCAATCGTTTACTATCAGACGAGTCGAAAATAATATCGATTCCATCACGTTTCTTGAATTGATCTTTGATGAACCATTCGAGTAGTACTGCTCCATAATCAGCAACAGTTTTTTTCGGAACCCGAGCTGGTAACTGTTGCAATAGTAATCCACCATCAATAATTAACGCTGACTCATGTGGATGTAACGCCCAGTTAGGCGATTCCAAAAATGCCATACTAAATTTTTCTTGTAAATATTTTTGTAGTACTGCTTTCGTCGATTGGTATAACAATTTTGGCTTTTTTCTGTTACATAATGAAACGCTAACATTTTTAAGTAAATAACTGGACGCGCGTTACAAGTGAGCAAGATGTCTAGCTCCTAATCGAGCATAATTGCGTCTTTTTTGTCCAAAGAACATAGGCACCATTAACGATATAGCTGCATTCCGTGACGAAAAGTCAGCTGAGCGGATTGAAATGTAGAGTTTGATAAGTGGTTCAAGTAAATCAAATAAGACGAAAGTCTAAAAACGAAACGTAATCGATTTAAAAGACAAATCTGACCGCCATTTATCAAACATCTGTTTTACGTCTAATGTGTTCAATACCGATGTAAGGTTCGAAAACCACGATTGTTTCACAGAATCTGTGTTGAGAGTGTGAAGTAATAGTATTAAAACATTGTGTAATAGTTTGAGTGTTTCTGTGATCGATGACTCAGGCGACGATGATAAATAAGTATGGCATCGAATGATTAAGGGAAAAACAGTGAAATTTGACTAACGCATACGCCAGCAATGGGTCATCAAGACTGTTGTTCAAAAATGGTTTAAATAACGTGGTGGAGATCGGTGCTGCTGTTTTAGTTGAAGTTGTTAATGCAGAAAAATCATCGAGATAAGTATAAACGTCCATCTGCAATGTAGCATTTGAATCAGTAGGGTTTTGCACAATATCGAGTGTATTTTCTGGATTTTGAATAATTATCTGATTCATAAAGTGAAAACTGTTTTTTCCATGAACTGTATCTCTGTTCATATCAAAATTATCACAACATTTTACAACGAAATAACCAGGACGAACTGATGTTGGTAGCTGGTAACCATCGTCTTCCTTCTTTGCCACTTCCTAATGTAGTTTAACCATGGTTTGATACGAGCATGTGTGGCCATATCTATTAAAGATTGACACCAGATCAGCCGATCTTCATGTTGTAATAATTCATTAGCTAGCATGGAATGTGTAGGAGATATAAATTGATCATTCTTACAATTGAGAACATCGTACGTTATCGAACAAATCTTTAACCAATTTGAGGATTTTTCAAACATGTCTTGCATAAATATGTTATAAAAATCAAAGTGACGTTGTATTTTTTGAAAGTCGTCGTCATTCAAAGTAACTAATCCAATAAAATTTCTCAATAACAACGGCGCACAAGTCCAAAAATCATCGCAAATAAATGACACTAATTTTTCCGTTTTATCACCTAATGTTTTCAAAGCACGATGATCAATTGAGATAAACTTCCGCATTATACGAATGGCACTGAATAAACATTCTGAATCTCGGTTATCCGTAGATATTATGGCAGATGGAATATTTTCCAAAACAGAATACGGAACGTCTTTTGCTTTTGATACAGATAACTTAATATACGCCGATAGACCGTTGAAAGACACATAAGTTCCTTCTTTATCCGACGATGTTTCAAAATGTAATAGATTGTCAAAACGATTTTCTAAACTGGACTGTTCGCATACTATGCCATAAACATTTTTCTTACCGGCCATGCAGAAATCTTCATTCAATCTTTAAAAAAAAGAAGAAACAAACCACAAAGCACCATTGTTCAGTAAAAGAAGGTCTCGTAAATCTATATTGCTTACCTAATACGAACTTCCACATAAACGTACAAATTTCTTACTGGTTTTTCATCCTTGTAATTATCTATAAATGAAATAATTATCAAACAAGATAGATATTGATGGAACCATTTTTTGAATATCCTAAACGTTTACGTATACATACAGAGCGTACGATTGACGGTGTTATATGTTTGTTTCGAGAATTCAGCAAATGTATGTATTTCTCTTGAATAGCTTTCATCGAAACAATTGTACAAAATTGCAATCAACCAATCTGATAACTCGTCGAATGCTGTCTCGTAAATCACCATTCCAGGAGGCTTACTTGTGTTAGGCGTTGGTATATCGAAAGTAAAAAGCTTGCTAATAGAGTTTCTACTTGCTGCCGGTCTTTGACTAAAATGAAAAATAAAATATAAAATCCAAAACCACTATCCATCCCAAAATATAGTGCAGGTTGTCATTTTTTGAATAACTCAGGGGGAAAACAATATAGAGACTTGCGGTTTTCATCATTCACTAGCCAAAACCTGAAACTATGTTTTCATAAGCAAAACGAATATGGGAAAAATTTCAAAGACCGGTTTTTAGCAGGTGTGTGGAAAACCAGTTCGGTTCACTGAAAAACTCACATAGAAATCTACCTGCTAAAAACCGGTCTTTGAAATTTTTCCCGAATTCGTTTTGCTTATGAAAACATAGTTTCAGGTTTTGGCTAGTGAATAATGAAAACCGCAAGTCTCTATATTGTTTTCCCCCTGAGTTATTCAAAAAATGACAATCTACACTATATTTTGGAATGGATAGTACAAGATAGCAACCATTCCCCTTCTCGAAGACGTGCTGAGGATTAATGGTGTACTTGAATGAAATTCATTGTGTGTTGCTTCTACCATCGATACATCTGGTGGGTCGAACGAAATGGTACTATTAGTACGGGATTGAACTGCTGTTATGGTTGAACGAGAATGACACGGCAATAATAGATTAGGTGTTTCCCTTTGAGTGGTGGTGTCTACCATGCTCGACTTGTTCGAAACTGAGGTGTTATCGATAACGTCATGGAACGTATTAGCAATATGGCTATGCATTTCAGGTAATATATGACAATCAGGCAGATTCTCAGCAACAGTATTATTTGTGGTTGTTCAAAGTCATGAGTATCAACATTTGAACCCCTTTAAATGCAACTATGTCTACTCGCTCAAATAAATATGTACTGTTCAGAAAGAATATTTTGAAGATTTATTATTATTTATGTCTCACTCTAAAGGTATCTTGATACTGAAATACTCCACACAAATGTAGCTGTGAGAAGACACTTTTGAGAAAAGATATCTAAAGTCCTTCAGCTGGTATGGAGGTAATTGCTGAACGGATTCTTATTTGAACGTGAAAAGAACGGTAACGAACTCATTATTCTCTGAACAGTAGATTTTATCGCTATTTGAATCTTCACCGAACGGCTTCTTAGAGACGTCCCAGAAGTATCAACAGACGTTGCATTGCGGGACGCACTAACATGACATGTTAACTGTTGTTGAGTATCGCTGTGCGGATCAGGCGATGTGGTACTTACAGAATGAATGTGTCAGGGAGAGTACTAGAGGAAGGCTGAGAATTGAGAAAACGATGTCCTAAAAAATTAAGAAATGTGTGAGCAACTAATAAAGAACACAAAAGAAAGATCTGCAAAGAAAACCTCTGTATGATTTCGTACCAGACGATGATTGCATAGAGACTGATGATGAAAATGGTGACGTTTCTGACTGCTGACCTTGGGATAACTCCAATGTTGACGCATAATATAATTTGTAGTAACAGATTTTATGAATGGATTTACCAATTAAAGATGTTTGTAATTGTCGCCGATACAATCTAGAGAACGAGCGCTGCAGTTTTATATCAAGTTCCGAATTAATAACTCTTTTCGAATTTGATCTAGTTAAACCAGTACTTGAATTACATATGCAACACTTTGCTCGTTCTGTCGTAGAAAAATATGTTATAGGCAACGACAGATACACTGAATTGTCTCTGGAAAAGAGGACAAACATAATCGAGACTTTTCAAAAAGTTAAAAACCTACCCAACAACTTGTTTAGATTCATTATATAGCTGTATAACCTCTGTATGTATGTTGCTATGGTTATTTTTTCACAACGACTTCAACACTGACGTTGAATTAATCAATTATGATTCAGTTCTTTTGCTATAGCTATAAAAGTAGCATCATCTAATTTGTCTAATGTTTCTAAACTATTGGAATTCCATGCGTTCAAGAAACAATTCAAAAGATCTTTTCTTGAGACTTTTGGTGGCAT